GGGAAAAATCTGCCTCGTCAGTCATGTATCGAAAGATACATGATCACCTAAGCGTATATCATGCATGACACATAACTGAATGAGAAATAAGTATTTTATAACATTTTAAATGTTGTGTTGCTGAAAAATACCGTATATGTTATTGAAAAATAAAGTTTCCCATGAAACTCCAATATCGAGTGAATGCCGTTACAAGAGAAGAAAAGATAGATTGCATGTTATCCTAAGTATTGTTATTTAACAATACGATGAGGAAGGCACGCATAGCTCTATAAATTAAGAACGAAAGATTTGTTTACGTTACTTGTTACTTGGGCGTGTTGACCAGCGGAATATTACTAATTGCTATGTCATCGTTACTTGAATATTAAATTTTAATGCGAAATCAATCTCTTGATTATTGATTTTAATGTGGAATCAAGAAATAAAAGTAATTTTATTATATTTATAACTGCTGTACAACAATATGTGAATTGTTTCAACTAGAAATATTTACATCGGTAGGTCTTATACGGAGGTAGTTGTTAGGCTACCGCAATCCATAGTGGCTACTTACTAGTGCCGATAGACCACAGAATTTAAGCTTAGCTTTTTGTAATACTTGTACTAAACGACCACCTGTAAATTACGATGTTTATTTGCATCAGATGGTGAGGATCATAATTATTTTGAAAGGTTTTAATTATGTGTGTGGTTGTTTTATTTTTTTTTTATTCTGTAATGAAAAATAAAGATTTTATGGCATCTTAAATGTTTTGTTGCTTCACACTGCAAAAAATACCGTATAATGTATGTTATTGAAAAAAATAATGTCTTATAATAAATGTTATTTATCACCTAAATGTTAATGAATTCTCATTAGAAATAGAGACTATGTGTTATCCTAAATGTTGTCATTTAACACAACTCTGAGAAATAATGATTGGTGTGCACATACCCATAGCTCTACAAATCAACAACGGAAGATTTTTTTACGTTACTTGTTACATGGGCGTATTTTTCGGTGGAACTTTTGCAAATTGTTGTGCAATCGTCTCTAAAATAATGCATTTTAATGTGAAATCAAGAAGTAAAAGTAGTTTTATTACATTTATAATTATAGTAGGGCATTATGAAATTTTATTCTATGGCGAGTTCTCCACTGGCTATCGTGACAGAGGGGCACCAAAGAAGCGATTCAAAGATTGCCTGAAAAAATTCCTTTGATGCCCGTCACATCAACCATTGGCAATGATCAACCCTAGCTGAGAACCGTGACGTCTGGGGTCTCACCATCAACCATGCTGTCTCCTTCTTTGAAAATACCTGCAGGGCCACTCTCAGGGACAAGAGGCAGTGGAGAAGTACTGCAACGCTATGCCATCGAGCCCAAAGCCGGACTTACAGCTGCAACTGCTGCGACCGTGTATGTCTGTCCCGCATTGGACTTATCAGTCACAAACGTGCCTGCAAGCGACGTGTACAGACTCCCTCTTGATCTTCATTTTGTGAAGCCAAGTCATGATGATGATGAGGAGGAGGACAACATTCTAATGGGAATTGTTTCAACTAGAAATATTTACATCGGTAGTTACCATATTGAGGCAGTTGTTAGCCTACCGCTTTCCATGACGCAAGCCTACTTGTTAGACATTTTCATGACGGTCGTCTTCGAGTATAGAATCCAGAGGTTGGTAGTGAATATTTCGGAGACAGTAGGAAAGCGTAGTGCAGGTTCGCAGTGGATATCGCAGCAAGGTAGCAGAGCGTAGTTCTTCCGTCTGTCCTGTTCGCCGGACGAGTTGCCTCTGGTCATTCCGGTAGGAAAACAAAGATGGCCGCCTTTATACACGACGGATACATTGTTGTGCGGCTTCTGATTGATCAACCTTCTATTGGTCGACTATGAAGGGAAATAAGTCATTTTGACTCGCTCACTAGTTATATACAGCATATACCCCCAAAACTGTAACACTACTTACCAGTGCCAATATACCACAGGATTTAAGGTTAGCCTTTTGTAACTGTTTTACCCAGTATTTTGGATGGTAAATGTTAAGATTTAAGAGTCGCCTTATACGTAGAATTATACAGTACTTCTTAAAAAAATATTCCTTGTAAGCTTATTATTGTGGATTCCGTGAATGGAATCCTGCACAAATAAATAAACAACGCCAGTAATTGAGATAGAAAAATAAGTATATTAAACGTAAGAATACAGACTTGAAGTGAAGATTAGTAGTCCAGGAATGCGGGTTAATAGAATGTATATGTACAAGTATCTGTAAGTAAAGCCGTAATCATCTCTCTCTCTCTCTGGACTCTTGTATAACTCTCTGAGAACACCCTGCGTCTGTCTCTGTATCTCTCAACCTGTCTCAACGTATCTCAACGTATCTCCACGTATCTCAACGTATCTCAACAGAAGGTATTCTCTCTGCCAGTATAAGTATACTTTGGACGAGTCCATCTTATGTAAAAAGAGGAGAACCCCACAACACTTATTATAAGTGCTATTTATTCTCGTTATAATTTATACTATGTCCTTCTTTAATTAATATAAATCATATCGTGACGATATTTTGAAATGCAACAGTGAAAAACAGACTCCTGACTATAAACTGTAACAATATAAGAATAATACAGTTGGAATCGAGGTTTTCTCTCGAAAGAGTGCTATATATTTTTATTTGGTGGAAAGAATTTGACAGTTTTTTTTAATTATAAGTTATTTTTTCTGTTGAATTTCAGTGAAAAGCTACACTACTTCTTTACATATTGCATCACGCTTATATATTCCATTGCATTGCTATCTTTAATTTGTTGATATCGGTTTATAAACATGACGAAACGTGCAAAATGAGCCGCTCTTGTTTGTTCGTTTAAACTTAGACTCACGAAAATAACAACAGGTCATAGACGACCGGCAGCTATATTTAAAGAAAATGATTTTTTCTTGCTTTTTCCGTTTCTCTGGTGAATTGTTCCAACGACTTTTAAGCTCATCATGACGCTGCTTTGAGATTTTTGTTTTTATTTGTTTCATTTTTTTGCTTCTGTAGCTGTGTCAAAATTAAATGAAAAGCAAAGAAAAGTTTTTCAAGTCTTCATATTTTTCGACGTCTACAATCTATTTAGTTTTTGAGAAAGTTCAGAGTTCAACAATTTCTTCTTCCTCAAGTTCACACACAACATTTGAACAATATTTAGACATTCATCTCTAAGTATTGTTTTGCATGATCTGTAATTTTTCTTCTTAAATGCCATGTAGCCCAAGAATATAGACGCCCATAGCTCTCCACAGATTTCTCTTTTAATTATCTGAGAATTATCATGCTTTCTTGGGAAAGATAATGGAGTAGTTTCCCATTGCCTTCACCTTCCCACGCATTCAAGCTTACTACACCTAGAACTCAGGAATAGTCATTCATCTAGTTCTTGACGTTGCTTAACTTCAGTGATCGTACGTGAAATGATGTTTCAACGTGATATGGCCGTAAGCAATTTTCGTAGATAATGAAAATAATGAGACCCATGATCGCCTTCGTCCTGAACAAAAAATGGCTTTAAAAATAGTTGTGATGAAAGGGATAAGAATTTCAAAAGGGTAGAATTAGCTCTAAAACATAAGCAATCCGTATAAGAGTAGGAAAAATCTGTATTTCAAACCGCAGAAAAGGCAATAAAAATAATTTACAAATACTAAAGAAAATGAATCTGTGGAGAGCCATGATCGCTAAAGTCCTAGATAAATAAGACATTACAAAAATATGTTGATTTGTCATATTATAGTAATAGATGCAACTATTCATAGTTTAATGCCTGATCCCCACTTTTGATTTTAAATTATATTATTCTTATCATAACTTTTTGGCGCCTCTATTCAAAGACATTTAACATTATTATTGTTGACTTGTGCTGCCTTTTTGGACAGTGCAACCTATTGTTTTTGAAAGGACAATTCTTTTTTTTTTCTTTAGTGAAATCGGTTTGCCGATGTTCATCAAATCTAGTATTTGAGAAATGAACCGGTAACATCATGACCTCTACTGTCAATTATCTGATCAATGAGAGAAATGTCTTGATGAGAGAAGGAAGCATCATGCAGCATATCTAGGAAGATATGCGTAACTGGGGAGAACACATGGGGATAAGCAGACGATCATTTCTTTGGTGAGGTATAAACATTACCACTCAGCCCACAAGGAACAGAAAAAAAATCAATAAATAAACGGATAAAAAGAAATTTACAGCCGACCGAAACCGAAAGATAAAAAAAGAACAAAAACAAAAAAAAACAAAACAAAAACAAAAACGGAGGAACGGGCCATTTTTTTGCCTCCCAAGCGCCATTATTGTATATCAGATTATTACATCGAAGTGCTTCGGTCGTGGTTGAGGAGTTAGTGTGTTCTGTCGAATGAGTTCGTCTATGACTCTGTTTTAGCGTAAAGATTCTAACATTACAATCACCTAAATGCGTTGTACAGTGGCAGTAAATGAATGGCGGTATCGGCACAATAGCATTACTGTGCTAACAGTAATGAAATTAGGTTGCCTAAGCGTTTTTGTATTTAGTTGATGCTTGTATCACCAGTACGCATGCGCATTTGAGTAATGATGGCAAAGGCGGCCATAACGGTAAATGCATCCTGCTTTCACGTTTATAAATTTAGTGTTGTTGATATAATCGAGGGAAAATAGTATCGGACTGTTTGTTGGGACAATATTAAAATAGGGCATGAAAGAAGTAAAAGGGATATTGGGTGTAAAGTTAAGGGGAAGAAATATAAAAGGCTCGAGAATAAAAATGAAAGAATAAAGAAAGGCGGATAAGAATTGTTTAATGAAAAATATGAGAGATAAGGTATCGGAGAGAAGAATGTAAAAAGGAAAAATTATATATATATATATATATATATATATATATATATATATATATATATATATATATAAAGAGAGAGAAAAGAGACAGAAAGAGAGATGGGGGAAGAGAGAGTATAAATAGAGAGGGGGATTAATTAACCAACAAAAAAAGAAAGATGGAGGGAGAGAGTAATCTGGAGAGTGAAATATAGAGAAGAGAGAGAGAGAGAGAGAGAAAAAAAAGGAAATAAAACGAGAAGAAAGTGCAAGACAAAAAACGGAAAAGATATAAGAAAGTGAAAGAAGTAAAATAAATTGAAAAAAAGAAAAGAGACGAAAGAAAGAAATAATACAAAGACAAGATACAAATTTGAGTTCACAAGAAAACAAGAAAATGGGAGAAAGAAAGAAGCGAACGAACCAAAAAGAAAGAAGAGAAGGAAGAACGAAAAAAAGACAGAAAAAAGAAAAAAAAAGAAAGAAGCATCCAAAGAAGAGATACAAATTTGTGTTAACAAGAAAGCAAGAAAATAGGAAAAGAAAGGAACGGGCCCAAAAGAATGAAAGAAAGAAAGATAGAAAGTAAGTAAAGCGTTAAAAAAGGTTTTTGTTTGTTTAACGGCATACCTTCTCTTTTATGGGTCATTTAATGCGGAAATTTAATTTTCTTGAGAGCATTAGTAATTTCTTTTACAAAAAATGTATTGCTGGTAATTCTGTTTATAATAAAAATGTATTGCTGTTATTTTTACTATAAAAATGTATTTTTATACTTTCATAATGTTTTGACCCCAGTTTTGGAGGTTAACTCTTTGCCCATGGCTGGGACCCTAACAGGTGCTACCACCCCGGGTCAGGGTGGCCCTGGGAACAACAACAATTACAAGTAGGTTCAACGCTCTTCAAAACCTCAAGATCAGTGGCCATGCTGCCGGATGTAGTTTATCGTTATACCCAGGACGATTAATGTTGAGATGTTGGGAGTGTACCCGCGTGCGTGTGTTGAAATAAGGAACAAACACATATGTAGGGAAAATCTGGAATATTTTAAAGAGGTATTTAACAACAGAGTGGTTAGTAATAACGAACGCAGGTTAGTAAGTAACAATAGCAAAAGTCTACAGTCCAACGGTATGTAATGGTCTCCTGATCGGGTAGATCTCGGGATCTCCTTCTCCCCTGATCTCTCTAGCACTGACCTATAACGTAGAGGGATCAGTCCATTATCAGTCAGAAGGTGGGTACGCCCCAACAATTAAGAAAGGTAAGAAAGTAGGTAAAGAAAATCTTAAGAAATGAGAAAGGGGTAAAATAAAAAACGAATAAAAAAAAAAAAACAGAGGAAAGAAAAACGAAAAAATATTGAATAAAGAAGGAAATGATTAGTATAAAATAAAAAGAAATGCAGAAAAAAAGACAGTAAAAAGAAAAATTCAGAGATACAAAGGAATGTAGCGCTCAAATAAAGAAGGGGAAAATGTCTTGACAAAACTTAAGAAGCGAATAATCTGAAACGAAAAACTATTTCAAAGGACGGAAAGAAAATAGGAAAATTTGTAGATAAAAAAGATAAACAATTTCGAATAAAGGTGATAGTGAAAGATGAAAGGTGAAAAAAGTTAGCTAGAAAAGAATACATTAATATTGTAACCTAGGGAAGGTTACTGAATAGAATAATCACACGAAGGTTGGTAATGAATGATAATACTTAGGACACGAACAACACACATAAGATTCGCCAGCGGCGTGTAGAAGTAGTAGTCAACTGCTAGAAGTGAATCAAGTGAATTCCACAATTAATCTCCAACTGCAAGATATCTACCAACCACCCGACGCGGTCAGATGTAGCACAAGGCCGAATTTAACGTGGGGTATCCGAGCCCGTAGGCTCGACTAAAGATTCCCCGTAGATCCCGTATAAAACGGGGTCGGGTAGCTGTTTCCCGAGACGAGACTCAGCCCTTCGACATAACCTCGTCTGAGGATTCTCTCTGCCCGGAGGTAGAGTTTGACCAACACAGCTGGAGACGAATCTCCAACTGCAGGATATCTACCAACCACCCGACGCGGTCAGATGTAACACAAGGCCGAATTTAATGTGGGGTGTCCGAGCCCGTACGCTCGACGAAAAATTCCCCGTAGACCTCGTATAAAACGGGGTCGGGTAGCTGTTTCTCGAGACGAGACTCTGCCCTTCGACATAGCCTCGTCTGGTGATCCTCTCTGCTCGGAGGCAGATAATTTGACCAGCACAGCTGGAGACGAATCCCCGACTGCAAACATACAGTATTTAATATTGTATTTATGTGAATGGGGGCATGCTCATTATCGTCCGTAGGTATGCTACAACAATTAACAATTTTTCGAGAATAGCAATAATTTTTACAGGTACAAATCCCACTGTTTAGCCCGTAGCTGAGGGGTGATATCGTTTCATGCCTATCCCAAGGCTGTTTGTGTGTAAGTGAATGCACGGTGTGGGTAATGGCTCTCGGATTGAGGAATAGGAGAGCCAAGTTCGAATTTTAGTCTGATCCAGTGCATTCACTTACGTGCTAATACCCTTGGGAAAGGTATGATCCCTCTTCTTACCCCCAGCTATGGGTAAGTAGCAGTACAGATTAGGTTCTATAGCCTTGGGTGGCAACCGGTCTAGGAGAAAGTAACTCTGAATTCAAAACTATATGTAGCCTTGACGTAGCACATTCTATATAGCTAAAGAAAGGATCGTTCGCATTTGCTCGAGGATTCCGACTACGGTCGACATCGATGGATGGATGGATGGAATATCACGAATATGACCGGAAATTTTGAACTCGGCTCTCCGATTTCTCATTACGAGCCGCTATCGTTTACACTGAGTGATTCTCAACATGTGCCTGAATTTTTAAAAAATGGGTCTGGAATTGGCCCAAGGGAAATAGGTGTGCTTTGAAATTATATTTTTACCACTGGTACAAAATTATGAAAACACAAACTGATTTACTGTATTTTTACAGGCAAATAATTCAGAAATTATTTGAATAAAATTTTCGATGTTTTCTTATAATAAATAATATTTTCAAATTGATTTGAGATAAGAGAGGAGACTTACGCCTGAAGCTGAACCAAGTACAATTTCAACTTGACTGACAGATAGACACCAGGAGCAGTGGAGTCATTAGTTAAGAATTGTATTTTCTACTATATTTTACCTTTGTAAATAAAATGTATTTCATGTTACATGGAATTTCTGTTAGTGCTTATGTGGGCCTGAAATTTTTTTCACGCCATAAATAAGCCACAAAGAAATCGTTGACAAACACTGATTTAGAACATAGTTCTGAACCTCAGAAGTACAGATGATGTCTTACATTTTCTAAGCAGGGAACAAATTCTCTGTCAAGGATTTAAAAGTTTCATTCGTTTAAAATAATCGATCTGAGAAAACGGTTGTATATAGCTGATAGTTTAGACATTTCTGAACGGGTGGGACGCCATACATGACATCAATATGAGAATCTATATATGACAAATATATAAACTACAAAAAAATTAAAACGGTGTAGTAACAATAAAATTAGTCCAGAAAAACTAGAACCTTTTATTGCAAGCTCATCACAATTTTCATAGCAGATGTTCAGGCGGGCTACATTCCTTAGTTTCACCAGTTCAGACCTTCACAGCTAGGACCCCCTCGTTCTTTAAGTTGACTCCTCACTCCATTCATATTCCATTAATAAGGAGGAAGATCCTTTCAGACAGTTTCTTCCACAGAATGAAGTTGTAGAACACACTCCTGAAAAGTTGTTTTTCTGATCACTAGAATCTTAAAATATTCAAATCTCAGAGTCAACTATGATCTATCTTACATATCCGCATAATATACACCTTTTTCTCCTCCTTCCTTGTACGCCCTTAAAACAACTTCATTTTATAACCTATTTTGGTCTGAGAATTTTTAAAAATGGGCCTGGAGACACCAGGTGCAGTGTAGCCATTACTTAGGATTTATATTTTCTGCTATATTTTGCTTTTATAAATAAAATGTATTTCCTGTTACGTGGAGTTTCTGTTTGTGCTTATGTGGGCCTGGAATTATTTTGACTCCAAAAATGGGCGACAAGGAAGCAAAGGTTGAGAAACGCTGCTCTACACCAACAACAGAATCACAAGAAAGACAGAAAAGAGAAGAACTAAACGAAAGAAACAGGGATTAGAAACAGATGAAAAAGAAAGAAAGATAGTAGATATGTATAAAGTACTGAAGAAAAGGAAGAATGGAAGAAGAAGAAAAGAAAAGAAGGAGGAAGAAAACAAAGAAAGAAAACATAGATCGAAGAAGATAAGGTGAAAAGAAAGGAAAGAAATATGGAAGATGACACGGTGTAAAGAAAAGAAGGAAGGATTAAAGACAAGGAGAAAAGAAAGAAAGAAGAAAGGAAAAAATGATGAAAGCAGAAAAGTAAGCAATGAAGTGCATGTTGGAAAAAGAAGGAAGAATAGAGGAAGAAGAAAACAAAGAAAACAAAGGAAGGATGGTAGAAGGTAAAAAGAAAAGAAAGGAAAGGTAAAAGAAGAAAAGGATATAAGAAAAAAGAAAGAAAGGAACGAAGAAAAAATCGATAGAAGAAGACAAGTGGAAAAAGAAGAAAGAAAGAACAAGGAGAAAATAATAGAAGGAAGGATGGGAAGAAGAAGAGTAGAAAGATGGGAGGACGGAAGAAAGAAAGTAAATATAGAAGAAGACAACAAAAAAAAGGAAAAAACAAAATGATTGAAAAAGACAAGAGTAAAAGAAAAAAAAAAGAAGGGTGGAAGACGATAGGAATAAAATAAAGAAAAGAGAAAATAAAAGACAGCGAAAAAAGCAGGAAAGAAGACGCTAAAGAAAAAAGAAAGAAAGCAAAGATAGAATAATGCAAAGAGATAAGAATAGGAGAAAGGATGGAAGAAGACATGGAGAAATAAAAAGGAGGGAGTTCGGAATGAGATAAGGTGAAAAGAAAAGAAAGAAAGATTGAAGAACATAAAGATAACAAAAAAAAAAAGAGCTAAAAGTTATTTTTTTTTGTACATTCTTCCTTTGATTCTTGCTTCAATTTGGTGTATTGACAACCATTGCTGGTCATAACTTTTCTTTCTTTGTGATGTAATGTACACAAGCATTTTTTGGATTGTCTCCCTATTGTAACCTAGAAAAGATTACTGAATGAGGAATAATCAAATTTGTGGTTGGAAATGAAATGGTACACTTTATAACATCAACAAAATACAATACTCGCCAGCAGCGTGAAGTAGGTAAACCACTGCTAGTGGTGAATTACTTTGACAGCATATTACCCTCAACTTACAATAGTGTCCAACGTATTTGTGAGGATTGAGACATACCCATTAGTGTTCATAGTTACGGTATATAACACTACCTATTTCAGCTTAACTTTCAAGCGTATACAAGACACAACACAAAATATTAATTTAACAAATATAAACCCGACTAATGTTTATCTATAGATTCAAATATAAACCCAATCAACTTGAGTTTATAACCAAAGTTATAAGCTCAAATACAAACCTGACCAACGTTTACCTAGTCTTAGGTATTAACCCGGATAATGTTTATCTATAGCCTCAAGTATAAAAACCATCAATGTTTACTCATAAACTTGAGTATAAACTCGACTAATGTTTGCATATAGCCTCAAGTATAAACACAACTAATGTTTACTTAGAGATTCAAGTATAATCTACCTAACTATAAATTCAAGTATAAACCTGACGAATGTTTACCTAACAAATATAAATATGACCAATTTCTTCTGGTAGAATCAAGTATAAACCCGACAAACGTTTACCTATAATATATGATCAATGTTTACATATTGAATCAATTATAAACTCGACTAATATTTATCTATAGACACAAGTATAAATAGGGCCAATGTATACCTATAGAATCAATTTTAAACTCGCTCGGCTAGTGTTTACCTATATACAAAAGTATAAATAGAACCAATGTATAGAATCATATATAAACCCGACTAATTTTACCTATAACCACAAATATAAATATGACCAATATTTATCTATAGAATCGAATTATAAAATAGACTAACGTTTGCCTATAGACACACGTATGAATAGGACTAATGTTTACCTATAGACACAAGTATAATTAGGGCAAATGTATCAATGAAGCCACAAACAAATTCGATTAAAATTTACCTATAGGCTCAAGTATAAACAGCATCAATGTTTACCTATAGAATCGGATATAAACCGGATAACTTTTACCTATAGACTCAAGTATAAACAGCACCAATGCTTAACTTTAGCTAACTGCCAGGTTTATTTCCTTGGTCAGTACATGCTGTTCTTCTTACTGTGACATTCACTCTTTTATTTTTTGGATTACCGTTTTCTATTCTATCTTCGACGCATATACCAGACACAATTACAGCAATAATGTATTAAGCAGGCCTCAGATGATTTGCGGTAATATTTTGTAAACTGATATATCTACTCTTATTAATAACTGTATTATCTAATTCGAGATAAACTGATGTCAGTTTTACCTGGAAAGAAACAATGCAGTTATTAATAAGATTTGAAATTAATGCATGCAAAAGTTCACAGCTCTAGCCTCATCCATTTTTAGTCAGCCTGTGAACTTTTCGCTCACTCTCGTATCTTAACAGCGGCATTGAAAACAAAATGGTTGAACTGACTTCGAATCTGCTCTGAAATTCCTGGTATACAGTTCGTATTTTTTTTTTCAAAGGGACGCATCCATTTCTCACTGCCTTCTATCCTCTCAGTGGATAATTTGAGGAGTTCTTGTTACAGGGACGGTGAGTGTTTGGATGTAAGTAAGAAATTTGTTATGTTATTCATAAGGTTTTTCTTTTTTAAGCTATATCAGAAATGAGAAGTGGAACAGAATTGTATTTCCTAAAAATAAATAAATAACAAAAGTATTCAACTCTCAACATGAAAAAAAAAAACTTTCTAAAAAATACTAACAAAGGACACTCTAAAAAATAACAACAGACACTCTAATAAAATAAAAAAATACGCTATCAAAAACTGAAGAGGTTTTGCCATTTTGCATCGAGTGATTTACTTTTTCGATTTCCTTCAACGGAAGTCATCGAGATGACTTGACGACCTTCTTTTCATGGAGAGCTTCACTGTGCTGTGTACATTTACTTGCTTAATTACAGCAGTTTTTTTTCCCTTCTGCGCATGTTCGCAGCTAGCTTCGATTCGGAGCATTGAATAGCCATTGCCAAGTTTCTTTCTTTGGTCAGCACTTGCTTCGCTTCGTGTCGTAAAGTTCAATGATATTTTTTGCGGATTGATCGCCGATTCCAGCTATCTCTGACACACAATAGGAACATTACTTGACGATTTTGATGATTTCCATTTAACCAATGACAATCAACAGACATCAACTGGAGATATTTAATGTTTTATTGATTATTTAACGAATTTTTCGGACTCATGTCTGCATCTTTGTTACATATTGTTGTCGCATTTTCATCTTAGAACTTTAGGCAAAATAAAATCGATTATGTATGGAATACCCGGATATGTTTAATAGGCGATTGAACTTTTAGTAGAAATGGTCATCATCTAGGAGTAAATGTGCAGCTTTGTATTAAAATCTATTAATTAGCGATCTGAAATTATTATTTCTTGAATAATTAGAATAAGTATACTCATCATCCTTGATTTTAATATATGTGCCAGCCGATATATTCTCCAGCATTTTTTAATTTTTTTTTCAGTATCTGCCATGAACAGAGAAAATTTCGCCAACACAAACACCAAAATGCTAAACAAAATTATACAAAACATAAACACTAAAATGGTAAACAAAATCAAACAAAATGAAATAAAATTCTATATATAAGAATTGTTACTTCCGTTAGCCTGTCCGTCACACCGTTTAAAATAGCCATACATTAACCGACCGAATTTTTGATAAGGAAGCTATGTTTGTCCCTTACGTTTCTCGAACCGTTTGTTAGCACCTCGTAAACAGACACATACTAGTGTGTACGCATCACATACCTCCGCGCAAAATGAAATAGAGATCTGGAAGGTATGAGATGTGGAAATATTATTGTCAAATATAACAGTGATAGACTGTGTTGTTCCTGATGACGGTCGTCTTTGAGTATAGAATCCAGAGGTTAGCAGTGAATATTTTGAAGACAGTAGGAAAGCGTTGTTCAGGTTAGCAGTGGATATTTTGGTAAAAGTAGCAGAGCGTAGTTCGTCCTTCTGTTTCTCTTCGCCTGACAAGCTGGAACTGGACATTCGGGTAGAGTAAACAAAATGGCCGCCTCTATACACGACGGATTGAATATTCTACGTCTTGTGATTGGTGAACCTTCTATTGGCGGACTATAAAGTGAGTCAAGTCATTTGGATTGGCTCACTAGTACATAACATACACAAAAAACTGCAACAGACTGTTCTACCGAGGCTGTGACTGTTCGCAGCTCCTGTCGAACTCTCTGCCTTGGACAGAGAGGAACCCGGATGTGCAGAAGGGTAGCGTTTCATCCGAAGAGGTAGACAAACCCGAACCCGTTTATGGGGGTTCTACGGGGATTTTTTGGCCGAGCCTATGGACTCGGATGACCCACTTTCAACTTAGCCTTGTACTCGTGGGGGGGTTGTTAAATATAACGGTGTTATAGACTGAACGCTGGTCAACTGACACACACTCCCAAGTCGTGTAACACACTTCTGTTGTATTTACTGTTCAATACACTATTTATCTGCAACCTCTTGTTTTGTTATTTCTTAACCATTACTTGGTCACAACAATTATGAATACCTCTGGGAAGTGTTTTAACAAAGGATGAAAAGTGTGACACTGAAATCCGAAGGCGTATTGAGATAGCCAAATATGCGTTCCAAAAGCAAAGCAGCTTACGAAGAATTAGAAAAACTTCTCTAGAAGTAAAGGAAACGTGTATTAATCTGTTACATGGTATTTCTCCTCTTATATGGCAGTAAGTGCTGGACGATATCCTCAAAGATGAAGGAGAAACATGAAGAAATAGGAATGTGTTTCTAGAGAAGGATACTGAGAATAGAATGGACAGGTCATATGAGCAACGACGAAGTTTTAGAGGAAATGGAAACAAAAAGGAAACTATTGCTTAACGTCAAGAAGATACAGTTGAGGTTTCTGGGGTATATAATGAGGATAGAGGGCGTGGAAAATCTGATACTCACGGGACTAGAGGAAAACAACGCGTAACATACTTAGCTTCAGTAAATGTATGGCGGAACAGGGCTTAGGAGAAATAACAG